ATTAAAGGTTTTTGCACAACCTATGCATCGAGTTTTTGTTATAAAATATTGTATCCTTCTCAAAACTAGTTTATCAGAATAAGAATGAGTTGCCGGGAACAAGTATGGCTTTCGTGATGATAGTTTCCAGATTTGAATAAAAGTCACAGCCTACTAAAATCCTCATTTCCTTTGCCTTGCTAGCCCAACCTCGTCAAAACATTGCCAACAGGAGTGATTAGCAAATTATTGATACAATCAAGAGGGCCTATTCCCACATACATCCTCCTTAATCCTGTTAGCATACTATGGTCATGGCATTTCAAACATAGTGTATATGCCACAAGTTTTCCATTTACCTGACTAATTACTTTGTAACAGTGTTTAAATGTTGAGGAAATGGTTGGGTTGAAATATAATTCAAAGACTTGCCAGTAGATAGTATTATTACAGTTTTTATTCAGTGTAACGCAGGGCTGGAAAATAAACTAATAAGAGCTCCGCTTTTAGGCTTGGCTAAATCTATATATTAACGGAACAATGGCCTCTTTCGTTACAAATGAGAGTCTGTGAAGCACAGAAAGAATTATTTGCTCTTAATGTGCTTACCCTTATTCAACTGAGCACATACAGAACTCTTAGGATGGCGATCACACGATTTCATAGTAGTAGTAGTTTTGTTCATAAAAGCGTAACATGAACAACAAAGACAAAGAATAGTTAACTCGGAGTACCAAACTGGCCCGCGATTTCTTGCTGAATAAAGGTCTAATGGAGATAGAAATGACGTGATGGCATGTTAGAGGTGATTATTTGTTACAGATAAAGGGACAAATTATTTCTAAAAAATAGTACATGGACGCTTGCAGACCGAAATTCCTGTCAGCCACAATAATTCAACATTACCGAGAATCAAATTGTTTGCTCAAAATCTCCACAGGGCAATCTAATAAATGCGTTTCTGATGAAGGAATATTTCTTTGATTCGTCGATTGATTGAGGCATTCTTTGTCAGTGAAGAAGCCAAAACTTCATATTGTAGTAAAGGTATAGCTGTAACAGCAAGTTATCATTAACCATTTGCTTACTTATTTAACGCAACACCGTTGATTATGCAGAGGGTTGGAATACATCTAGCTTTGATACAGCCGTTACGTTGATAAAGAAACTGCGTAATGCAGTACCTCATAATTCTCAGTATATGAGGGAAAGTTTGTGTTGTTAACTTCTTTTTGTCATAAACTGATTCAAAAGAATTATGTGACTTTCAAGAAGGTTCGATGACTACCGTCTTTTCTCGGAAATGTTCGAAACAATGAGACTTGTTGGATGGGGGTCGATGACTACCGTCTTTTCTCGGAAATGTTCGAAAACAATGAAGACTTGTTGGATGGGGGATTTTATGAGCTATGCGAAATCTTTACGAACAATTTAATGGGGCAAAAATTAAGTAAACCGGCAAATTAAAGGGAGCTAACTCACGAAAAATCAAGTGAAACTTAGGCAAGAAGGCAGTTTTTCTTTCTGTTATATTTAAACCATATTCATTGAAATGCATTCATGTCTCAGCATGTATGCATGTGGGCTTATCTTTTTGAATACTATATAACCAAGTTAGGTTGAACAATGTTAACCTGCAAACTGATATTGTTCAACGTTTAGATGTAAAGGCTACAGGAGTTTTCTCCATAGCCGCTATAATGTGTAATAGTTTTTTGTTGCATCGTGATCTGTGAAAGAATAAGGCTTACCAGCTCTCTTGGACCATGCACTGTAAATTTCTGAATTTTCAATACAGGAAAGAACTCAAAACAATAATTGAACTTAAGTTGTTCAATTCAGTAAAGTAGCACACGCTGTCGTATAGAAAACTAGAGTTTTAAAGACGAATTGAATTCGAATATCATCTATAAATTGTGAATACTTGCAATTTTCACCCGGTCAAGTTGACCGAGTCAAAATTGTGAGTCTCCAAAACGAAATCGTCTCGATCGATGGATATCTTTAGGAAAGACTTACCGGCATGCACACCAACTGCGTTCTCCCGCGGCAGTAATGAATGTCTTGTACAGTTCTGTGAAACGTCAAAATAATAAATCCCCTAAAGCTAGCTAATTCTTGAAATCCAAGAATGTCACATTTTTTCAATAGGTCCTTCCGAAAGTCGTTTAGCAGAACAGATCATAATAAAGGAAATTCATCCAAAATTACCTTCGTCTATTTTATAGGTATTCCATCCTTCTCAAAACTTGCATTTCTTTAGCAGCATTGACAATTTTTTTTCCTTTGACGAATTCGAATCGGTTGATATCATCGCAGTGCGTGACCACAGGAATATTGAATAGCGACTAAGGTCAACAATTTTCTAGGAAATCCCAGCATCGCTTTCGTGTTTTGAATTGAATGAAGCGGTTGGTTTACGTGGAGTAGCGAGCAATAAAGACTTGGGTAAAGACGTGGATAAAAGCAAGACCATGAGCGTAACTGCTTTCGAAATGGAAAACAAAGATTCCAATTCATAATTTCACGTAAGTCACAGAATATCGACGTTTTGGAAGAGTATATTTCAAGTAAAAAGGATTTATGTGTGTTTGTCAATGAATTGTGTCCTTGCCGCGCCGATAAATCTAAGTATTCTTAGGTCAGAGAAGACGCATTCGGAATTCAAAGAACAAACGAAACCCTGTTAAGAAATAAGTGGCTAGAACTGTTTTGAAGCATTGAGAGAACTCAGAAAATATGCCGCTATCGATTGCCAACCATCGATCGCTATCGATCGAACCAACAAAGGTCGTTTGAAATTTAAATAGGACTTCCGGTGTTGGTTGCGAATATTAAAGTACGCCATTTACAAATGTATTATTCACAAAAATCCGGTGTAATGATAACGAAAATATAGTAGCAGTTCATTATTTTTTTCATGCAATTACAATTTTAAACGAATGGGAATATATGAAATCATCATTACTGCGAAGATCGCTTTCATATTCACAAATTACAGTTTTGTTTGGCGGAAGTGAACCATGGGAGGGGAGGGTAGAGAGTTTTATACCCTTTTGATTTGTAGATTTGTCGATCGTATTCGTTCGATTGCTTTCTTTCTATGTTTTTTAAGGCTATGTTGAGCTGATGTCCGATTCAGCGTTGAGGACAAGAGATCTACTTGAGATGGATCACGGCCAATCATCAAGAAAGGAAATAGAGAAAAGAAAGGAGGAAGAGAGGTTGATCAAACTTAGAAGTGAACTTGTGAATTATAACTTTCATGCTTGTCCAAGAGTCATGAAAGAATCCTTCAGGGGTTTAGATGTTGACGACATCGACTTGATTCGAATTGCTTTAATTGGGCCTGCAGCTTCTGGGAAAACTAGCTTCGTGGGTAAGTAAACCTTGATCCTCCTGTTCTGTCTATAAAATTAGCTCTCTATTACTCCTTCCGCGTTTTCTTTTATTTTCTCTTGATGTACATGATTGATCAGATTTTGAAAACAAGTTTCGTGACAATTAGTCTGATTACTTCAATATTTGTATGTTTGGTTTACGTTAAAGGGACTCTACAGCGAGCCATTGGAGAGACTCAGAGTGCCTTTGAGCAAGGAACTGGAAGAGAAGGAACTATTCTTCTTGAAGAATGCTTCGTGCAGAAAGGTATTCGGATGGTCGATACTAGAGGATTCCTTGAGGACGACGAAGTACATGTTGATGAATGTCTCAAAGTAGTGTCAGGAAGGTAAACTATCATGCATTTTTGGGAGATATCGTACTAAGGTGCATGCCAATTTCAATGACATTCGCCATTTTTCAGCACAGGCCAGATTCACTTGACTCAAATGCACGATGTGTCTGAGCTATTCCCCATTTCAACCAGATAATTCATTTGAGTAAGATCTTCATAGCGTTCTCGACTGTGATTGCGAGTCAATCCAGGTGACGCCGTTGAAACCAATGTACCACGCTAGATAAGTTACTTTTAATCAGATTTATTGAATATGCTCTAAAGCACATGGTACGTGGTGGAAAAACTACAAAATGAAAAATCAAAGACCAAATAAACAAAAATGTATGAACCAAAGATGCGAGAAAACGAAATAACGTCGAAAAAAGCGATCACTTCCGTTGTCCAATTCCTAAGAGAGTAAAATACGAATTATTCTACTGAGCTTAACATTCTAGATTGATTTGTAGCCTTCACCTGTTCTGCTGTATAAGATTACATCGAAAAATCAGTTTTTTGACAAATGCTCGAACTCAATCACTAACTAACGAAATGCTCAATCGTGACTCACGTCACATAAGATGCCAAGGGTTTTCAGAAAATTCTCAAGGGATAAACTCAGTAGTTTTTCACGCAGGTGAAAAATATGTAATCTGGAAATCCTAGACAAAACATAGAACTCCTACCACAATATTGAAATGGCATGGTGATCTGGTCTTATGCGGAGAATCTCCCCGTTTATATCTGGGTATATCATAGAGGAATGTGATCGGGACGACTAAACCGGGACTACCTGCACTGTAAAATTAAAAGAGTTGATTTGGCCGCAAAAATGGGACCAAAACGAGTGAGTCCAGTTTGGCACTCGCTTAGGGTCAATTCAGCCCCATTGAAATGGGGCTGTTTTTGGCACCAATTTTGGGGCTGAATTGACGCCGTTGTAGGGGCCAAATTGGACCATGTGAAGGGTGAATTTGAAAAATACAGGGGCCACTTTGAAATTTATAGGAGCCAAAACAGCCCCCGAAATTTCAGCCCTCTCACAAATGGCCCCTTTAAAAAGAGCCAATTCAGCTCCAATGTGGGCCACTTCAGAAGTAGAGGGCTCTTTCCTCTCCATGCTGATTTTCCCCCTTACATTCAAATAATGAAAATACACCACATACTTTATCTTTCAAACACTCATTTATTAGGTTCTAGATATTGTTTATGTAAAAACCTTTTATGCTACCTGATTTTACAGTTATTAAGAATCTTAATTGTGGTATAAAACAGACAAACTTTGAAACATCATGTGAAAGAATATAACATACATAAATATTTAACATTAATTCAACCATTTTCTAAAATAGATCTCTTCCCTAAATCAGTATACTTCTTAACAGTGCAAGCATTGCAAGAAATTACACCCAAGAGACACTTGTGAGTAAAGCTTCCCTTTTCAATGACTTAGCAAATGTGGTAATGTAAAGCAGCTTATAATTAAGACTGATTTAAAGTACAGAAAATTATCAAAATAAGACAGAGGCAACAAATGGTCCAGTTCCTGCACAAGAATATAGATCTTGTTTGATTTGTGCATATGAAAAACAAAGAGCCTTAGAGCAGCAAAGAGTATTCTTCCAGTGGATGTGAGAATATATGCACTCATATTGCTATTTTAGATATTATCAAAATATAAACTATCAGCAAGTACTACCGCAGGCATTTGCCAAGTCATTGAAAATAGAGGAAACAGTGACAAGAGTCTGCCTGTGCTCAGTTCTGTCGCCTCGTCCGTAAAACAGAGATCCTTGGGCGATTTACCCTTTTCTTTCGGTGCCAATGTCACCTCTAAATTTTCATAATCGCTGATGTTATCTGAATCATCAATCGACGTTTGAACCGTCTTACTCGAAGGACTTGATTCTGCACGCTGAAACAGTGAGAGCCAAAAGATCAGCTTAAGTGGATGCAAACAAAGACATAGACATAAAAATATCAGTTCATCTTTTCAAGAAAAAGATTAAGAATTCAGAGTGAGAGATCCTAAAATCAGAGAATCTTGAAATAAGTTAAATCCATCTTGTGCAAATGCAGTATTCGAACTGTAACCGTCTCTATCTCTCGGCGCCAAAATTTGATCACGTGACTTTAGTTGCGAAACCGCTGAGACTCAACAAGACTCGGGAGAAGAGGCGAACCATTCATGCGTCAAATTCTCTGGTGGGAAAATTAATTATCGTACCGACGAAGAACTCGTGTCATCTCTAGGTTCAGCGTTCATTGCAATCAATTTCTTGAGCTTTAGACGCTCTTTTATAATAGGGATGTGGTGCCTTGGTACGTCTCTATCTTGGGCGATGGCAAGGAGATCTTGGCCATCGCAACCGTCTTTTTCTGCAAGATAAGATACGAACAAAGATCAATGGAGCGGTCAAGTTTGTGAATGTAAAGTTGCAGTAAAATACGTTGTTAAGAAATTTCTTTTGCCTACCTTTCCTTTCTTAAGTCTCATTCCATGCGACTGTAGCCAAGAAACAGCCTCTTCAGTGACGAATTCGCTGCTATATTTCATATTGTTTCCGACGCACGTGGTCTAGGTTCGACTAATGCCATCACAGGCAGCTCACGCTCACGTCTCGAGAAAAAGCCAACGATTAATTCGTTGTGTGACTCGGTGTTCAGTTACGAGAGGAACCGTTGAAAATTTGAACACTTTATAAGGAATAGTATAGGGAACGAAATATGGTCGAAAAAGAAAATTATTTTTATATTTTCTTTTTTTTTCAAAAATTGCACCTCGTTGGGGCCAAATTGGTCAATCCTACTTGGCTCTTGGAAGGGCCAAATTGAGAAAAAGTTCCAAAGTAGAATTCATAGGGGCCAATTCAGATTTTGGAGGGGTCGAAATGGTACCTGTCCCGCCCGTTTTGGCTCAAATAGTCCAAAACGAACCTTGATGGGCCAAACTGGCCCTCGAGAAATTGGGGCCAATTTGGCTTTTGGGGTCAATTTGGCTCTTTTCATTTTACAGTGTGATGTCAAAACTCTTAAACTCTCTCGATACGACTTGTGACTTTCCCCTAGCTCTGACTACCATAGATTTTCCTTCTTAATTAAAGAAACGTTTTCGAATTTACTGGTGTAGCAAGATTTTAAGTAGTAAGTAGTAACCTTCTAGCTTAAAAGTTTTGCTATTCTCACCTCTTCCATGGAGGGGGATGCATTCAGAGTTGCAAAGAGAGGCTACATTTTAATAATTTCCGGGAGGAATGATCACAGGTCCCTTCTCATTTTTTTTTTTTTGATTCAAGAATTCGACCAGGAGAAGAAATCGCGGGGCATTATGACAACGAAGATGAGGGAGGACTGGTGAGCACAGCGGCCAGAGGAACTCCATCACTTGCTAGATGTGCACACGCTGTGATTTTTGTTGTGAATGCGAACGATCTGTGTTTGTCTGTCGGAAAATACAGAAAAACATTTCATAAGATCAAAGAGCTCCTTCGACGAAATGGTAATAATATCACAGGTCTCAGTAATATATTCCCGGCTAAGAAAAATTTTAAGGGGCAATGTGACGTTTTCACGAGATGTATAAAACTATAATTTGAGGCTAGACATCATTGTTACTTTTATTAGACGAAGAGGGCAAAGTAGGCAAGGATAACTCAAGAAGAAACAAGAATGGCGTAGATTGGCAAAGATTACCAAGGATTACTATTGAAAAATATGAAAAATCCAAAATAAATTTTCCTGATACATTGATCGTTTCGTAGCACCCATGAATAAACATTACCAAGTTCTCTTAACACCACTCACTACACTAAGGTCAACTTCTATGGTAAACAGTCATAAAAATAAATCTTTTCGCTCTTGAAATTCTGGACTCCGCGTTGCTTTTTGCTGAGACGTTTATCTTGATTCGGAAGCAGCATGACAAAATGAGATGGACAGAGAAGTTATTAATTTAATTAATTCACCAGCGTGAAAATGATTTTTTCCACGTGTTTGGCAATTTATAGTCTTTTGGCACTGATTATCCTTCATTTCATTTTCCAGGTTATACTCCCGTAACTGTGATTACCTTTCTGGACAAGCTAAAAACTGAGGAGGAGAAGGAGGAAGTGTTTGACAAAGCATCTATGGTGACCGGTAGTTCCAGCGAAAGGACCTATTTCACTGCAAATTATACACACGAGAATGCTGAGCAGTCCAATGAAGTGGATATTTTAGCTCTTGAAATTCTGGACTCCGTATTGCTCTTTGCAGAGAAATTTATATTGGTTCGGAAGCAGCGAGAAAAAAATAAGATGGACAGAGAAGTTATGGCTAAAGGTAGGACATTTTGCAAAGAGAAGAACCAAATAACAGACTCAATCCCTTTCTCGAGGCATTCTCTCCCTACTCAGGAATTAAAAACTGCCCTTTCCTGAGATTCCAAAGTAAAACAGATTTGTATATTTCTCTCGTGGACATTATTTTAAAAAATGACATATAAAGTAGCACGTGATTATCCTTGAGGGGGGGAAAGAATCTTTATTATTCTAATTACCAACCTTATTGGCATTCAATATTTTCTATTGTGTCCCCTTTTCTTTCCTTCAGAGACGACTGATCCCTTCCATTTTCAAATCTTGCAACCCCTCCTTCCTTTCTCAAAATCCTGCAACCCCCCTTCCGTTCTCAAAATCCTGCAGCCCCCCTTCCGTTCTCAAAATCCTGCAGCCCCCCTTCCGTTCTCAAAATCCTGCAACCCTCCTTCCGTTCTCAAAATCCTACAGCCCCCCTTCCTTTCTCAAAATCCTGCAACCCCCTCCCGTTCTCAAAATCCTGCGACCCCCCTTCCCTCCTCAAAATCCTGCAACCTCCCCCTTCCCTCGAGTTCTTTTGCTTCAGTTCTTACAAGATGTTCCATTTTTCCCTTTTCCCTTTTACTTGCTTTTCCTCCATTGTCAATTAGGAGCGTCCAGCTTTGGGGAGACCCTAGAGCAATTTTTAACCCGCCTAAAGAATAAGTACCACTGGAATGACCAAGGAAGATTGGAGGCTCTGATGAAAGAATTAAGAAAAAGAAGGATTACCACTGTAAGAACCCTCAGAGCAATATGGGACGATATTAATTCAGAATTGCCGCTATCGATTGGAATTAAGAAAACCTTGGAAAAAGAGTTCAAACGAATGTAAAATGGAGAGCAGTTTTACCGGACATGATGGGTTGAAGCCTTCTGCGTTTTATTTTGCCCCCATCGCATAACAAATCAACGTTTAACCGGAAGGAGAGAAAGATCTTACAGTTTTACAGCTTTGGAGTCTACCCGAGAGGTAATTCATTAAATATATATCTGTATATCTTCTATAAGATTGGGAGTAATATTCCCCTTTGGCAGATTCTGATCCGTCTATGGTATTTCACGCCATGTGCATGGGCACTGGTACCCGGCCGTGAAATTCATATCTGACTGGATTTTCTAACATCTAACCACTGACCTTTTTTTAAAAGTTGTGAAACTCAGAATTCTCCTCCATTTGTAGGTCATTTTTTCCTGTGTAATGGAAGGCTTGTCAGCCTTTCGGCTTTCAGGGATGTTGTCGTAACGTCGAATTGGTAGGTGCCTTACTATTTTAATTTTTTCAGCAATCCTCTTCTTGAGGTGGAGTGGGACTTGACTTCGTGAGAGAAGCCAGTGTGATTAGCATTTTGCACGATGCAAAAAATAGTGCTTTGCTTTTTCTCTTCTGAGAAATTGAAAATTATCAAATTTCGGCATTATGTAAACATATAGTTTTTAACTTTTACCGCCCTGACTGCACTCTGTCTTAGTTACTTAAAACTATGAACATGATTTTATTTTTCAAATTACTCGCGGTGTTCTGCGAGAGACTGTCTTTAGTCCTGTGCTATATATTCTGAAGAGCATTAAGTCTCCTCCAAAGTGTTTTGAAGTGTGCTATTCAGTGGTGCATCTCTCTAGTGATTAAGGAGAGAGAAGGATAGCGTTTTCTAATGCATCCATAATGATCCATTTGAGCATATAGACATCAATCGATTGACAGTCAGGTAGACAGTTCAGTTGAAAGCTCGGTAGATTCAAATCGACTGAATCTCGTACTTTCTAGAGACTAAGATCATGAGATAAAGTGCACCACGAGCTCATAGCCCACGTGTGATGTTTGGACGCTATTCAGATAACACATTGGTCGGATACTTCATGTAGAGGTGATAAACTATAAACTATCCGAGCGCATTTATTAAAACGACAGTTTTTAATAGTAATCATTGGCTTTTTATTCTTCTTTCTCGTTTCACAGAAATTCCACTATACGTGCATTAGACCCAAATTCCCGTACACTTGGGCTCAGAAGTGATTATAACGGATTTTTCCTTCTTTTACCATAAGGAAATACAACCTTTAGCCTAGAAGCTTCTCAATCGATGTCTCTCTCATGTTTTATAAGACTGCAAGACCAGCAAATCGAAAATTAACTTCTACTTGCCTTGAAAGAGAAACAGATACGAATTTTCATCGCAATAGAAGATGGATTGAGACCGAATTAAGTGTCCCTCCCATTCCCCCCACTCCGAAAGGAGCTGTCTCAGCCAAGGAAGGGAGATTTCTCAACCAGGAATGTAAATGGTTTTACGTGACGTCCTAGAACCCTATACATATTTGTAAACATAAATCAAAATAAAACTTAAAATTTCTTCTTGAATATCATATAACCAATACAAGGAGATATGTGCTGCCACATCTTTTATCTCACTAGAAACATATTACATGACAGTGCCAATGGTTGCCAGGAATGAAGTATATTTAATCGATTTCAAGGTTGCTATTGTTTCCATCTCAGCTGAAAATGACGAAGTCAGCATTTAAGCGAGCTTTTTTACCTTCCCTTTAGTGAAAATATTTTGGTAAACTTTTTTCTTTGCAGAGCAGTTTTAAACACTTTAATATAATGCTACGAAAATTTCCACATAACTCTTACGTTTATCCCTGCCACAATTTACAACATAGCAGTTAAATCTAAAAGAGGTAGTGGACATTACCAACTCGTTACATTACATTCAGAGGTTATCTAACGGTATTGCATATTTTTATTGCAGGTTGTTGATCCTATTGCTCAATGAACATAAGCTACTTTGTTGCTTTCGTTTCGTTTCGAATGTAAACTAAAATGTTTTTCCCATTAAGCTTAGGGGTAAAATTGGAAAAAAAAAACAAAAGTTGAGTGTTATTTAGTGCTACTGACTGTCCCCTCTTCTCTAAGTCAAATTAATTTTGCCATAACCGATAGCTTGTGAGAAAATATCATTCAATCAAGCTGTCTTTTTGATTGAATTAAACTAATTAAAAATTAAGCTGCAGTTAATTAACCATTGAAGCCCGACCTCGGAAGTACTACGGCTATTGAAATCGTAAATTTTGATTCGGTGATTACTAATAAACAGCTATTTGTGAAAGTTCAGTTTTTTGGGGGACTAATGTATAGGGAATGTCAATTAGCTCTTGCAAAGTTCTGCTATAAAGCGACAGTAGGTGGCGAAAAGAGGCAGATTTTCTTGATTTGACAGTATGGTGAAGATCTGAAAATCAAGAGAGGATATCCTGCCCCTAATTACTAATTTTCATCACAACAACCACAAAACAAACACATCCTAAAGCAATCAAAACATTTGCGCCACCAAGGTGTGGGGATAAAAGCGTAGCTAACCCCATTGTTGCCTTTACTCCTAAACTGCACTGAAAAACTTCCGGCTTCCGTTGGCCTGTCTGCTCTCACATTCACAACCTGTGTATCAGATGGCTTCCATGCATCCTGTCGTTCTCTAATGTGCCACTTTTTGTATGAAATCTCGCCCTGAAACAAACGCGTCTCCAGGAGTACAATGCCCTCTGGGTAATGAGGATTGCACCTCATGGCTGCAGCTTTGATAAACAAAGACAGGTTAATAACAACTAAGAATTCAAACAGACAATATTCCACATTCGAAGTAAGGGCTAAGTTTCTAAAGAAACTGTGGTGCTGTGTCGGTGGGAGAGTATAACAGGGTAATTTAGTGTTAACAACTGAGTTGAAAACGTACATTTTCCACCGTAGAAAGTTTCAGATCTGACGTTTCGAGCGTTAGCCCTTCGTCCGAGAGCGAATGGCTAACGCTCAAAACGTCAACTTTGAAACTCTTTACCATGGCCAATTTATGTTTTCAACTCAGTTGATAATACTAAACTACCCTGTAAGATTCCACATTCGATATGTTAGAATGGGGTTCGGGAAAACTCTCCGCTCAAGCTCATCGTGTAAGTGTAATGGCGCGTAGGGTTTGACATGATTTCTTTCTGTTTCTTTTGCTCTTTTCCTGTTTTTTTGTTGTTGTTGTTGCTTGCTTGTTTATGTGTGTATTTTTTTTTAATTTAAACAGTAGTTCTTGCGGATACATGAACACTGGTCTTAAAGATCCAGAAGTCGAAAAAAGACAAATTCATCATTATTAGGATTATTTTTTTGTAACAGTATTAGTTCTGGGAGCTTTCCTTGCCTGTACCAGGACCAGTTTTTCATGGCTTGAACGAAGCAAATTAAACATTAACCTTCAGTTTTAATTTTCTCTGTCACTAATTTGTCCTTCTGCATCACAAAACAAAGGTAACTTGGTTACTCGTGCATAATTCTTAAGAGAGGATGTCAGCATCCATCGAACAAATTTGAAATATTGTGGAAAGTCGCCCAAAATTCATTTTCTCCCCTACTTTCGTATTTTGTAGCCCAATATGTCCTAATTATTGTGGTGTAGTTTTTTTGTGAAAATATATTTTAATTTTCGAGAAATGATTTTTTTCGTTCGACCGCTCAAATATGCAAATTTTCACCGTGAATATTACCCGAGTTGTGTGACCTCATGTAACGAATTTACTGGACGTCCGAAATTTCTGACAACGTAATCCTTTGTTTTATCATCTAAACTTAATCCCCTGTCATTATTGAAGTTGGCAAATAAATATTTATTTTTTGGTGAATATTTTTGTTAAATTTCGTTGTTCGTCTGACGCATGTTGACATTAGCTCTTAAGAATTATTTCTAGAGCCCCTCGACTGCATGCTACTGAAATGAGAAATTTACCATTAATCAGTTTCTTTCACTCTAACATTTTTCATTTTTGTGTATTCCAGATGGGAGGGTGCCAAAATAGATTTGCGCTCAATGCCGTTAAACCTTAACGGCATGGATAATGATTTAGTTTATGATCATTTTAGGATAATGATTTAGTATTTAATTTTTCTCATATATCAGTCTTTTCCTGAGTAATGATGACCGCGAATAATAATTTCTACACCATCCCTAGATCTTCCAGATAAACAACTCTTCACAACATAAAAGTAGTTCCATTCTCAACGGAAATTTAACAAACTAACGCTGTTACCTCCATAATTAGGTTGGTTTTGGGAACGTCTTAACTCACTAGTTTCTCTCTCTCCTGTCCTTTCACCTGCTTGATTTCCTTTATTTTGAGGTTTCTCACCGACAAATTTAGGCTGCAAGATAAAAGCCCAGTTATCATTCCACTCATTCAATCTTCTCATATCATTTCCTTTGACACCTAAGCTTGAGAGTCCAGAATTTATAAAGCTCAGTCTTACTTGCTAAATTAATTTTTGTGGTTCAAGGACTCCCTATTCTCTTTAAGCCATATGAGCTTGTTTGATGTACGCCATATTGCAAACTCGCAAATTAGAGCCCTTATTTACTTCCCTTACGTAAACTCCTGATATCCATGCTCCCCTCTCGGGCGAATGGTACCTTAAATTGTTATCCCCTTTTCCTAGGATTTGGTGTGTGTCTGATTCAATCTCCAGACATTTTATTTCGACCAGAACACGCATATAAAGACAAACTCACACTTTTTCTTCAAACTTTCACCAAATGGAGAAATATTTTTTTTTGGTTTTCAAGTCATTATGCGCTAGTTCTGTAGGTGGGTTAGTCTTAGTGGGCTAGCCTTGGTAATCTCATACCTCAACGGAGGGTTTTTCTTGCTTTGCATTTCCTCTCGGCTGAGGTGTTTCCTTTCTATCTCCAAGCGGTGCCTGCAGGATGAATGACCAGATGCCATGTAAATAAAACATCTCTCTTAGCCTTCTTACATAATCTAATACATGCATTTCGAAATTTCTGGTAATCCTTGAAATCTAATTTGCTCTCAGTAATGCAGTATATTCACAATTCGCACTGTTTTCCTCTAAAAACATCTTCTCCCCAACCAATAAAAAAGCAACATTAAAACCAAAATAACCAATCAGATTTCAAGATTTTCTTAACGTATAACCAAACAAATTGCAGGAAAACAGAAGACAAAGAAGCCACTGGTAGAGAATTCCTCTTTTGGCCAAATATGGATGAATTCCATTTCTAACAGTATTTGAGTAACGACTGTGAGGTAAATAGAATGAGAAGGATGGTTAGGTTTGAGCTCGGTAAAGAAATAGAGAAAGGTGTTTTTCGTCTTGTCACGAGCGTGGGACAAAGAAAGACAAAATGAATGACCGTAAAGAATCTGTACTGACTTAAGTCCTGTATCAGTTTTGGAGCTTAAATATTGTGATTTCACCATAGAATGTTATAAAGTGATGATTGAACTAATGTCATACTTGTTTATGTTCCAAGGGAAAATGGTTCTCGGACGAATGATTGGATACGGAATCGTATAATCTTTATATTGTTTTATTCGATCTATAAGAAAGATACAAAATTGTTGAGAAACCTAATCTAATGCGAGCGATTCATGAAATTGTACGAGAACTAGCAATTCTCAATTCAATCGGTTACAAAACAAATTACTTACTTCTGTGGCGATATCCAATCAAACGTATTTCAATAACAGGTCAGCAAAACGGGTCAGCAGATCGAACAGTAATACTCTACAGATTAGCGACGTTCAACGTAAAGTCCGTACAAAACGCTTATGACCTTTGTCTCTGATTTCGCGTTACTTAAAACGTGTCCTAACTGAATGATCAAGTTACTTAGCTATTACGCCATCGACTGTTAATCACGCGGCTAATCAAACAATCAAATGTCAATAAACGGATTAAATATCAATCAACGAAACAGTGATTTCAAATCAAACTCCTGCTGCACGCTTGTTCCATTTTGAAATCATGCCGATCACTCATATGATTTCAGTCCAACTTGCACTTCACTAAGTTCAATCACCATTATACGCGCGCCTCTGAGCCTTACTAGCACAAAGCACAATGCTACAGCTTTGATAATAGAGGAAAATATTGCACGACCAAGAAATTCGTGTTATATTGTTACTATACCTATCACCCTTGTTACCGTTATCATAACTATGTCTAGTTTTTTTAGCTATTCAGTTGTCTTTCAGGACATGCAAGGACGCTTTTTTGTTTTGACGGCGTTATCAGAGACTTTTTGGTCCAGCGTAAACATTTGCAAACGTAGTTGAAATTTTATTTCTCAACTATTCTAGTATAGGAACATCGCACTAATTCATTTCTCACCAACCAAATATCGAGATTATTACAATATCTGAACAAAAAGTAGCTTATTTTATTGGTTGCAGAGAGTGTCTGAAACAATTATTCAGGACTCATTATCAGTGAATGTCGCTTAATTTAGTCATACCTCGCCGTAGTCTTGTTTTTGTCTCAGTTTTGGTTGGTATTGGAACTTTTTCCCATATTTGCTTGGATCAAAGTAATGGAATAGCGCCTCCTCGTGGATTTTTCTGTGCGCCTTATTCCAAGAAAAAATGAAGCTCTTTCTTCCATCCAGATACTCCGCATCAAACTGTGACTCTACCTTCCTTCGTGCCCAACGTGAGATAACAACCTGTTCTTCATCGTCTTCTTCTTTGTATTCATCATCGCCACCGATGACGATCAACACCTTGTTTTCTGATAAACAATGATTTAAAAAAAAGATAACACAACGTGATATATGCTATAAATACTAAAGTGTACAATATTTGCTGTTTTTCTCTCTTTTGCAACTATTTTCTTTGCGACACTTGAAAACTAACCCCATTCCTAAAATAAACTAATAGTTCAAAAGACATATATTCGATCGAATAACAAAATATAGATCTTATAAGAAAAAGGACATCGATACATTTTCTTTTTTTTTTTTTTTTTTGAAGTTCTGACAGTGAATTTAACTTAGTTCCATCTTTTTTTCCGAGAAGCTACCCGTCATATTCTCCCACGTGACCCACTAGCTGATTTTGGTCCGCCTGTTCGTGATTTATGAGTAAATCAACAAAACGAGCGCTGTGATTGGTTGATTCTTGATCACGTGCCCCTGATCAAATTCAAATGTATCCCGACCGGGATACAATAGCGCAGTTCCCTTGGGTCCTGATGTTTCCCCCCACTCCGTCTCGGGAAACATCAGGACTCTCGTGAAAACAAAGCGAATAGTCCTAAAGGTAATCTATTGTTTGCGCTATTGTTTTCTTCTAACAAAGGACTGTATGCATAATGAAGTATGGGGCTGTGCGGAAACTTTGCTGCGTCGTTCGCCGACTTGCTATTTGCTATTAATACGAGTTGTTTACCACACGTATCAATATTACGGTATGCACCAAGCTTATTCATGCGTGCCGTACGTGAATATTTGTTTCCATTTCGCTCCGCTGTTGTGTTGTGTGACTTAAATAATATCACAAATTTAACCAATGCACTCTTTTCCCCTAATGACAAATGCGACTCTTTAGCTTCTGTTAGAAATAAACTGAGTTCCATGCGAATTGCAACGAAAGGCTTTATTCATTAGCATTAGAATACATAGACTACCTACCAGACGAGTTTAATCAAATGTTTTGTAAATTAACATATTTCCCATCCTTTGCAAAAGATGATTTCTCGTTATTTTCATCTCCTTATTTTCAAGGATATGAGCTTGGATATTATATCACGAACATTTCGTTTCCTTTTCACGGGATAAATCGATTAAATGGCAAAAAAAAACCCGGGTTTTTTGCGATTTAATCGATTTATCCTGTGAAAACTGCTTCCGCTTTATGGTGCGTGACAACGGCTCGAAAGAGAAAGTACTTTATTTGCGCTCATTCTCTTTTACCATAACTCACCTTAAACACTCAATAACACGATAAACTGTCTGAACTTTAGTTTTATGCCATCCATGCCCGTTAAATAAAACAGTTTTTTCCCTTTACTTACCTGTGGCCTCTAACAAAGCTCTGTAGATCTTCGCGTAGCCAATCCCTGCACTATCTTCGTTGATCGAGAGACGCGACTCGTGTGCATGTAGGACAAAAATTGCACAATCCATCTGAATTTGTGGAATTTTTGTCTTACAATAATCGGCCATTTGTTGCAATCCAAGGTTGTACTTCCCAATCGCGAAGTTGAAGCCATGTTTCTCGTTCATTTCCATCAGGAACGCCTCAACCACATCTAGCTTATAGGTGTTATCGCAATTGAAAAGACAAATGGTTTTCTTCGACTTATCCGCCATAATGTGACAACGTTCTTAACTATTTCTTCGCCAAAAGCTTAACTTTCGGTTATCAGTGAGTGCCGTTTGATTCAGGGTGATGATTATGCGAATAGCAGATTTCCGAGAAACAGTAATCTTGTGACGTTTTTTTCCATCTGTTTTGTCACGCAATGCAGTCTCAGAATAAAAGAGTGTTTCACATCCTGTTATGATACTTTCTTCCTTCAGCACACAAAGTGTACAACCAAACCTTCTTCAACAGGAGAAAAGCTCTGATTCTCGTTCTTCTTTAGTTGAGAAAACGAAAAAAGGATTGAGAAAAATTAAACAATTCCTCTCAGTCTCCAAGGGATAAAGATATACAATTTAGCCTCACGATGAACGATAAACAATGATCGTTATGCTTAAAGACATTCTGTTACCCCAACAGGAATTAGCGGCCAACATAACTCCCTCTTTGGCTTTTTCTTCGGTCAATTGAACAATGCATAAATATGTCCTGAACAAAACCTTAACCTAAGGTTTGTTCTCAACATAAAACCTCCCTCATTTCATCATCACTATTCCCATATCAATATTACACCGCCATTTTAAAACATTATGTTGGTAAACAGTTGCTTGGAGTTTATAAGCAAGGATGGGATCGGTAGGGGAAGAGAAATTGCGATGTGAAATCATGTCCATTGTATGTGTAACGTCCATTTTATTTACCCTTTAGACTTCCTACATGTTTTTATGTTTTCTGAACAACTTGGATAACATAGTTGGTGAACATAATGTTGACAGCTAATCATAACTTATCACAGAAAAGAAATAACCAATAAAATTTTCAACGTCGAAAACACTCGGTTAGAAATAGTAATAATAAAGAAAAAAAAACTATAACAAGAGCAAATGATATTTTTTACCCAAAGGTAAAAAATAAAGTTATATTAGTTAATATATAGCTATAGTAGAACTTTCTCGTAAAGAAATCAACTGATTGCTTACTTCGACTTCACAAAGCAAAAACTGTTTTTTGTAATTCCTAAAAGGATTGTTTGTGTATCATAAAAACTTAGCAATAACAATATTCTCTTAAAAAAAAACCAGTTACTCTCTAAATTACAAGTTAAATTTATCAGTGAAGTGAAAAAGGTATACTACAGTACTGAAGTCATGAAACTAAAATATCAAAGGACAGGCAGCTCATCACTGTTTCCATGGCATAATGTGATGAGGGGTAATAATACTCTTTGGATGGGTTGCTAGACCATCCAGGGCTGTCACCTGTAGGCTGGCCAGTAAACTTGAATGAATAACTACATGAATTCCTAAAGCCAGTTCACTGTGTTGGTAAATCTTGTTTGAGCTTGCAGGAATACCATGTTGAACTATTCTCACCCCATATAACATAATAATCTCGAATGAAAGTAAGTAAAAAAAGTAGTAATAGTCGACAAACCAGATTGTTTGTATATCTGACCTTATCTTGTCTATGGTCGCTCTAAGTTAAGATCTCTTTTGTAGGTTAAGCTATCTGGGAAAAGGTAAGATTCATTTTTCTGTGCAATGTTTCTAACGTAGACTTAACTCTGACAGGGGTTCTGGCAGTTCAAACGAAAAACTGTCTTGATATTTCAACACCTTCACAACATAATCTTAAAACTATTTTAAAAGTACTCTAATGCTGTCCTTACTGATCAGGTATTCTCGGTCGGTTATAAACCAGGGCTAATCTCCAAATACCATAAATGGCCAGCCCCACCACACCAAGAAAGGTTAAAAGAGCGACCCGTCGTGACCAGCCCCCCCACCACTCGGATGAACCTTAGTGACAGTGTAAGTGACACCACCGGTACCAAGAGATCTAAACTGCACATAAGCTTCAAGGACTGTTCCACAATCTCGTGCTATGTCCTGTATGGCCCTCTCAGACGGTTTCCATGTTTTCTCCCAAATCTTAACGTCATCAACCTCGAAAGAGATCCTACCATTGCGAATCCGAGTGTCTAGCAGGACAATGCCCTCTGGCCATTGGTACGGGCCTGAAGTTCAAAATAAGGAAACATTAGTTGAATCAAGAAGCAACGGTTAATTTCGAGAGGAATGATGTACGAAAGGTTAGAATAAGATTGAGGTTATCAGAATTTTAAAACACGGGTCGTTTGTCTTGGTTCAGAAACTCGTCGTCAAAATTTTAAAAAGCGGGTGTAAGACCTGATTTTCTCATGTTGGTCTCGATTATCTTAAGAAAGAGA